CAACCACTTGAGCACTTGTGCATATTGTCAATCTCGTGATTCGCATTTGTTACTCTTGGACTCTTCGGTCCTAGATGGTTAGACGTCGCCGGAGAGCACCCGGGAGATTGTGGTGTGCCTCGGAAAGTTTGTAACGGTCGATTCCGCCGCCTCGGAATCAATTAGTGGAAGGAGGAAAAGGAGTTGGAAAAGACTCCGGCTAGAGTGACCTTCATGGTATCCTCTAGGGCTGACCTTCATTGGTCGCCTGCAGCCCCCCTCAACGGAGAGTAGGACTCGAACGAGTCCGAACTTCGTAAAACAAATATCGTGTCCCAATTCGCATTTCATTTGATATTTGTGTTGCTCTAGCACTTGTGCGGAGTTCTCTGTGTATACCGATAGTTAAATTAGGTGCCCGCAGTTTGGTTTGAAGATAGAAATCAAAAGGAGCAAGTTCGGGGCTGATCTGCAGAATCGTGTATACCGGACACGTCCAGATTCATACGGACACGTCCGGTATTTCCTACTCAGACCGAAAATATTTATTCTCTGTTCTAACTTGGTGTTGCAGGGTTGTAGCTTCTAGATATATTCTTTATACCTTGTTTACTCTGTGGCTAACTTGTGAGGGGTGGTAGTACTCTTAATTTGGAGTTTCCATTTTGGAAACTCCCCTTTCTAATTGTTTCCGCATTTAAAGGTGTTAATTTTCAGAAACGCCTATTCACCCCCCCTCTAGGCGACATCCTAGGTCCTTTCAGGTTCCTCGCTGCCCGCGCTACTGCCGCGTCGAGGGGCCTCTCCCACACGGCCGTCGCCCCGATGGGCCTCCTGACGCCCGCGCCGCCGCCTCCCCCAGGGCCCAATCCGGAAGGCACGCCACCACAGCACGTATGGTCCCTCCCAATCTGCACGAGCTGCTCCCCTACCCTCTCTCTCCCACTCAACCTCTTTAGATCCGCGCCCCTCCCCCCCACCCCCCCATGGCACGCGGTGGTGGTGGCGGAGGCTGCTTCAACGGCGGCCTTCCCCATGGTCAGTCTTAGATGTGCATAAACCTGCAGTCGAAAGGCTTGTCTTCCATTGTCTTCCCATGGTAATAAGGAGCCGTGTTCCATTATGCATTGGATTTGGTATTTTTTTAGGGATATTGGATATGGCATTTCACCCAATGGGAACAGGGTAGCAATTGCAGTCTATCATTTTCTTTAAATTAATCATGTTTTGCTTTTGAATACAGTGTAATTTTTTGATGGTATTCCACTGGAATGCCAGGAAGGCCTAGATTCAGTACTGTCTGCATCTTGGAGGTATGATATGTAGAAGTGAGTCTCTTGCTTTGCCTTTAATTGATTCTTTAGAATTGAATACACATGCAAAATCTCTATTTGTTGAAACAGAGATTGAGTGCTACTGCTAAATATTTTAGTCACCACAAGAAATTATTTCACTGTAACACTTATAAGAAGTATGTAGAGATTATGGAAACACTACCAAAAATAGTAAATATGCCGAGTGTTTTTTGGTTTACCGAGTGCATTCCATCGGGCACTCGGCAAAGAGCTGATTTGCCGAGTGTAGTGAAAAAGACACTCGGCATACATATTACACTTGGTAACAAACCCGATTTGCCGAGTGTAGAATATAAGACACTCGGCAAACAACAAGACGACACTCGGCAATAAATTGACACTCGGCAAAATACTATCACATGACCGGCAGGTGCGGCGGCCATCTGACGGCGAGCTGGCCGTTAGCAAAAGTGCTACTTTGCTGAGTCTTTTTCCCCAGCACTCGGCAAAATGATAAGTTTGCCAAGTGTTTTCCCCCAGCACTCGACAAAATGATAAGTTTGCCGAGTGTTTTTTATTAGCACTCGGCAAAGCCAAAACTTTTTTTCCTCTTCTGCCCTCCAAACTTTTTCTACTATCCACATACAACATGTGGTACTACATGTTAAAATTTGGTATATTTCTGGATCCGTTTGATATATTTCATTAATTTATTGCGTTTAGAGGAATTTTTTGGTATAAGTCAAATTTGAACTGCAAGTGATTCAAATAATGGAATAAAATGAGTGGAAAATGATATTCATGTTATTGAGTCCATTTTGAGGCCTTGCTCGGGAAATGAAAAGAAATTTTGAATATCTTGTTCACGAAACCCGACCACGAACATGTGGCCGAATGGTTTTTAAATTCTAAAAAAAGCAAACGAAGTCTGAAAACAAATCTCATGATATCATACGTGGAGGCTGTGGTAAAAAATTGAGAAGGTTTCGGATAATCTGTCACATACGATGTTTACAAACCGAAGTATCTCAGAAGAAGAATTGTAGCGTAGAGAAGGATCCGGTAAGATTTGGTTTGCCGAGTGACGGTCGAATTGAGGTTTGACTTCAGAACTTTTTGTATAGGCAATAGAGAACATAGATTGATTCATGTGTAATTTTGGTAAATTTATGGATCCGTTCGATAATTTTAATTTGTTAAGTGCAATTATATAATTTTAATTGATATACATTGAATTTGAGCTACAACTGCATGTAATAATAAGTTTTTTTTCACTCCTGACCTTGAAACTTTTTCTACTCTCTATATACAACATGTGGTACTCCATGTTAAGATTTGGTATATTTCTGGATCCGTTTGATATATTTAATTAATTTATTACGTTTAAAGGAATTTTTTGGTATAAGTCAAATTCGAACTGCAAGTGATTCATATAATATAATAAAATGAGTAGAAAAATGATATTCATGTTATTGAGTCCCATGTGAGGCCTTATCCGGGAAATGAAAGGAAATTTTGAACATCTTGTTCACGAAACCCGACCACGAACGTGTGGCTGAATGGTTTTTAAATTCTTAAAAAAACAAACGAAGTCTGAAAATCATGAGATTTGTTAAGATCTCATGATATCATACGTGGAGCCTGTGGTAAAAAATTAAGAAGGTTTTGGACAATCTATCATCTACGATGTTTACAAACCGAAGTATCTCAGAAAAAGAATCGTAGCGTAGAGAAGAATTCGGTAAGATTTGGATTCAAAGTGACGGTCGAATTGGGGTTTGACTTCAGAACTTTTTGTATAGGCAATAGAGAACATAGATTGATTCATGTGTAATTTTGGTAATTTTTTTGGATCCGTTCGATAATTTTAATTTGTTAAGTGCAATTATAGAATTTTAATTGATATACATTGAATTTGTGCTACAACTGCATAAAATAATAAGTTTTTTTTCACTCCTGACCTTGAAACTTTTCTACTCTCCACATACAACATGTGATACTCCATGTTAAGATGTGGTATATTTCTGGATCCGTTTGGTATTTACATGTGGTACATACAACATGTTAAGATGTTGTATTGCATGAAATAATAAGTTTGCCGAGTGCCCCATATATAGGCCTAGCTAGGTGCTTCTTTTTTTTTTGAAGGTTATTTGTTAACTAGGTCTGATTTGCATTGGAAGTTTGTGAGTGCAGTTTCCAATACGTCCTCATAGATATCAAACTTGCACAATCACATGTTGAGGTGTGCGACTCGAAGAGATCGATGGGAACTTTCTCGGACCAATGACCTACTCATGGTGCTAAGTAAGTAAGTGAAGCTAGTAACATATAATTTTCAAATCACATAGCACATTCTAATTTCACCGCCTTTCACACTTTATAGTGTCACGCCGAGTCAAGAAAAATATAGACGGGCACAGGAAGAACCATTTCGAGGCTCATTATATGGAAACACATACCCCTAGAACAGTCAATAGCCAATAACAAATGCGGGTTCTACGTGATGTGGGCAATGCATTAGTACCTCAACGAGAGCACAATGGAAGGAAATAAAATGGTGTGTATGTTTCTCATTTTATGTATATCGGTTAATTCAATAAAATACACTAATGTTTTGTCTAACACTTGTGCATGTTGATGTCATCTTGCTTCAACGATAGCATGAGAAACTTAAAAACCCAAAAGCTATTAGACTTCGAGATCAAAGAATTAAAAGACAAGCTAGCATCCTTCGCCATGGACGAGGTCTTGAGTAAAAGAGTATCTTTCAACATTGATCAAGCCAAGGATAAAGAGTAGTATAGATCCAGAGATGACGAAATTTCTATCATAGTATATACATTTTTACTGTAACATATATATTATTGTAACATTTGTAATATAAATCTTGATGGATTTGTGATGTATGTGATGCTTTAAATATCCAGTCCAGTAACCATAGAAAATAAAAATTATATTACACAAAAATAATAAAATAAAATAATGAATAGGCATATGGAAAAATCAAATCAGTGGCGGGTGGTACATACATAAGCCAACAATGATCATAGGGATATCATTGTCCGTTGCTAAGCAAGCCGACAATGTTGGCAGTGATCTTGAGGACGATATCATATCATTGCCGGTTTAGGCAAATAACCGACCGTGATGTTTGGTATTAACATGTGGTACATACAACATGCTAAGATGTGGTATTGCATGAAATAATAAGTTTGCCGAGTGCCCGATATATGACACTCGGCAAAGCTGCGTTTTGCCAAGTGTCAGACCTGGGACACTTGGCAAACCCCTTCACGGCCCCACCCGCGCGCTGTAGTGTTTCAAAAATGGGGAAAAAAACTACAACCGAGGCTTTGCCGAGTGCTACCTGGGACACTCGGCAAACCGATGCTTTGCCGAGTGCAAGATATCGGGCACTCGGCAAAGCTTGCGCATATCCACCCCTTCGCCCGCACACACACGCACACACTCACACAGACGCCACGCCGCACACACTCACACACCGCTGCACCGCGCACCCGGCTACTGCACCGCCCCCCCGGCCGGCTGACCGCGCCGCGCTCCCGGCCGCCCACGCCCCCGGCTGGCCGGACCCTCGAGGAGCAACCCCGCCACCGTCGCACCCTCGCAGAGCGACGCCATCCGCCGTCCGCCCCTCGCCAAGCGACCCAGCCGCCGTCCGCCCCTCGCCGGGCGACTCCACCGCCGTCCGCCCTCTCGCCGATGGACCCCGATGACGTCCGCCCCTCGCCGAGCGACCCTGCTGCCACCCCTTCCTCGTGGAGCGACCCCGCCGCCGTCCGGAGGCACCGGCTCCAGCGCCGCCTCTCGCACGGTGCATCGGTTATTCACCTTGACGAGCTCGTGGGCGTTGGCTTCTGTCTCTCTGATTCTACGACGCCCGGTCTATTTCTGCAGGGCGGCAGCGGGAGGGAGCTCGTGGCGGCGCTGTTGGAGAGCCCCAGGATCCGCGACGCGGCCGACCGGCTGAAGGCCACGCCGGAGAGGCGGATCTCGGCAGGGCAGGAGGCGGCGCCGAGGCACGTCTACGTGTTCCAGTGGGAGTACGCCACGGTGGATCCGGCGCGTGTCGAGGTGCGTGGAGTTGCGTTGTCGTGGCTCGATCAAATAGGGTTGGGTATTCATAGGTGATAGGTCGTTTCCCCCTGGCCTTTGGGTGATAAAAATGGGATCTTGTTATGTCGTTGATGGAGTTCCTTTAATTGTGTAGCTGCTGATTATGCGTAGCTTAGTGATGATTTGTGCTGTAAAGATGAATTTTGTTTTCTTGGCCAAATCATGTGGGTTGCTGTCGAGACAAAGGGCTTAGGTTCTGAACTCTGAAGTAGTGGATGGGGCAAGTCTTCGTAGTTTCACTTCACTCGATTTGGGAATTGCTTTGGGACAAAGCAGAGACCTTTTGGGGGCCAAGGATAAAGCAGGGATTCTTGTGCTGGGAGCTTTGGGGACATTGTCAGGTGTTACTGCTGCTTTCTGTAAAATTGGGGTTTGGCAGTTATCTAAGGAGCTCTTTTTACCCTTTATTGGCTGGTCTCGTAGGTTTTGATTTGTATCTTGACCAACTTTGTGAATTGTGATGATTTACTGTTATTGGAACCAGACTTTTTTTGTGGACCTTGGAACAATCTGGTTGGGCCTCTGCCTGAAACAGTCTAAATTGACTCCCGAAAAGTGACTATAGGAATAGGATAATATTCGTGTCGTTTGATGAATACGGATTAAAGCTGTACTGGATTACAATGCCAATATGTAGTTCCAATCTTTGCAATCGCATTTGGTGTAGACTTTGGTCGTGAACAGTTCCTATAGCTAGCTGTTGTTGCCTATTTGGTTAAATTCTGTGTTGCAACAAAGTTGGCGACTTCAAGAAACTTTGGGTCTTATTTCTAATGTGATTTGGTGTTACTATGTTACGCATGTGTCGGTCGGAATTGAATAACACTTGAGTTCATATTTTCGTTACATTATAGTTAGTGGGCACAGATGAGGCTACTACATGCAGGTGTTGTAATTCGCAACAAGACTGGAATGTAAGTGAAAAAAAGTGAGGTTTCTATAAAATATGTCGATTTTGGGTGCTTAGCTTTCTATAAAATAGCATAGACTCTAACAACTAGAACAAAACATCGAAAAGCATTTCCACAGCACTTTACGAGTTCGGATTTATCACTGTTCATGTACCTTGCATCATTAGAAAAGGAGACAGAAGGGAACTAGAAAATTGCCTTCTTGAGTATGTGCTTTTGCTTGCTGGATTCAGTTTGACGCTGTTGGTACGTGGTTGTCGGCCATCGTGCCGGTGTTTTGGTGTGTATGCGTTTGTCGGCCATCGTACCGTTGGTTTGTTGTAGGTTTTGGTTACCTCACTATGCAGGGGAGGTGCTGCCGAAATTTATAATTGACACTATTATGTTCGTTTGTTGCAGGAGAGGCTATTGCAAGGATCATTCCCCACCGTCCTCGACTCGTCACTTTGCAGGACAACAAAGTGAGGCATCCTACACCTCTCTTTTCATATCATGTTCGTATAGCACGTAACCTAGCTAGGCGTCTCCCGTTCAAAAGAGATACGGTTGGAAATATGCAGATCTTTGCATATCTATAACCATATCTGTTTTGAATTGTCCACGTTTTTTGGACAGCCGGAGGATGTGTAGATGGAGTTAGTTTCCATGCTCTACTCGGATCCAAGACAGAGTTTCAGCAGCATCTCCCTGTTGTTCTCTGGATACACAATCTCCCTGCCAGGACGTGTATTTGGAGAACAGCGGGGAGGTGCTACCGAAATTCTGTCTCGGATAGGAGTAGAGCATAGAAATTAACCCCATATACACATCATCGGGTGGGATTAGGACTTATCTTCACCTATTAGACAGTATAGGAACCTATAGATGTAATTGATTTTTATATTACTTGGTGATATGTTAGAGGATGGATGACCGTGAGTGGATGTACACGGGCCGCTCTAGTCAGGGTTCGTTGACCGATGAATGGATTGAGAAGACCGATGCTTTCTTGGAACTAGCATTTGCAAGGGTTAAAGGAGTGCGTGGCACTTGGTGTCCCTGCAACATTTGTGCAAACACGCGTCGACAAACAAAGGTGGTCATGGGTAAACATCTTTGCAAGAATGGATTTACGGCGGACTATACCCAGTGGATCTACCATGGTGAATCCGATCGTGTGAGAGACGAGGTCGTGAGACAACGCATCGAGGATTATGATGCTGATGCCTGGGTAGGAGACATGTTAAATGACTATCATGAAGCACACTTCGATGAAGGACGTAGGGAGGAGGAGCCGGAGCCAACCACAAAGGCGTATTACGATATGTTGTCTGCGGCACAGCAACCCCTTCACGGGCATGCCAAGGTTTCTCAATTGGATGCCATTGCACGCCTAATGGCCGTAAAGTCCCAATTTAGCTTGAGTCGAGAAGCCTTCGATGTTATGCTGACAGTTGTTGGTAGTCTGCTCCCGGATGGTCACATCCTGCCAAAGAGGATGTATGAGGCACAAAAACTCATTCGTGCACTTAAGATGCCATATGAGCAGATACATGCTTGTCCAAAGGGATGCATCTTATTTAGGAAAGAACATACGGAAGCAAAGTACTGTGTGAAGTGTAAATCGTCTAGGTTCCTGGAGATAGACTCTGGTGATGGTTAGAAGAGGTAGCTCGCCATCCCCGTGAAGATCGTACGATACCTTCCATTCATACCGAGGATCCAACGGCTTTATATGACTGAGGAATCCATGAAACAAATGACATGACACAAATACGGACGTCGATACAATCCTGAGAAGCTGGTGCATCCATCCGATGGTGAAGCATGGACAAGGTTTGATATGATTCATCATGAGAAAGCTCTATAGGCTCGTAATGTACGTGTTGCGCTGGCAACAGATGGGTTCAATCCTTATGGAATGGCGACTGCCTCAAACACTTGTTGGCCCATGTTCGTTATCCCTCTCAATCTCCCCCCCCGGCGTCCTCTTTCAATGACATAACATATTCTTGTCGTTGATAATTCCTGAACACCCAGGGAATAATATGAGTGTGTACATGGAGCATCTGATTGATGATTTGGTCCGTGCTTGGGAGGAAGGGGTATGGACATACGACCGAGCTACAAAGACAAACTTCAAAATGTATGTTTGGTACCAGTACTCCCTGCATGACTTTTCGGCGTATGGGATATTCTGCGGCTGGTGTGTTCACGGGAAGTTCTCATGCCCAGTATGCAAGGCGTCTCTGATGCTCATTTGGTTGACGAAGGGTGGCAAGTATTCTTCGTTCGACAAACATTGACAATTCCTCCCTCTTGACCATCCATTCATGTTGTAAGTTCTCAACAAACTTTTTCTCAAGTAGTCACAATTCTATGTCCAACTCCCTTCTTATGACGTTGGTACAGGGAATTTCATGAACGATTTTGGCGTGAATCAAGGGAACCTACCCCGCAGAAAACTTCAACCCTTATTAGAGAGGATGCGGGAAATGGAATGCCCGATTTTATTTCTTGGTTCAAACAGAAGGTACTGTCCATTTTGGCTCGTACTTAGTTTGACATTACAAGTTGCTCGTACGTGCGACTAATATAACGAACTACCCTGCTTGAACTTGTAGGGACAAACCGATGCGTCTATGAGTGCCGAGTTGAGACAGGTTGCCTATGGTTGTGCCTATAGGGTCAGGTCATTTACCGGTTATGATGTGAATGGATATCGCTTTCACACAACAAGCCACGAGCAAAGTCGGCCCAATCGAAGAACCACAAATACCGAAGTTTTTAATCAAGGCTTAGATGGGGTAGAGTATTATGAAAGAATTGAAGAAATATACGAACTCATGTTTCATGGTTGCAAACCTTTTAATCCCGTTATATTCAAATGCCATTGGTTTGATCCTGAAGTAGTGAGGCGGACCCCTAATCTTGGGCTAGTCGAAATTCGACAATCATTCGTCTTACCAGGAGACGATGTCTATATTGTGGCTCAACAGGAAACACAAGTTTATTATCTCTCATATCCGTGCCAAACTGTAGACCGTCTTAAGGGTTGGGATGTTGTGTACAAGGTATCGCCACACGATAAACTACCTGTCCCAAACAATCAAGATTATAACATAGACCCCAACACATATGACGGAGAGTTCTTTCAAGAAGATGGGCTCAAAGGGAGTTTTGAGATGGACTTAACCGAAGCTCAGGGTATGGAAGTAGACAATGAAAGTGGTGCTGACGAGGACGCCGGAGACGAGGTTCAGAATGTGAAGGACTTAGAATTACTTCAGTGATTACATCTAAGCAACGATGGTGATGATGACATTCCTCCTTCGGAGCACGGGGATGATTATATTGACATGCGTGATAGTGATGATGAGACCTATGATCCAGCTAATCCCGATGATGATGATTATTTCTAATACATGTATGATCCATGCTAATTGATTTATTATTTGTCATACCATGTTATTTTCTAAGTATGTTTTGTTTATTTTGCATCTATTTTGATGTATTATCTATGCTAATTGGTTTACTCTTTTTAATTGCAGTTGATTGAACCATGGTGGGCGGTATGAGGAGGATAACGTCGCATTACTCAAAAGCGACAGCGACGAGTAAAGGGTTCGATGCAGCTGAGGGGTCCGAGAAGAGACCTCGGGGTAGACCCAAGGGTCGAGGGAAGGGTGGAGGCAAGACGAGGCCACCGTCGCCTGTACCTTCATTGCCGTCCGAGTTACCTTCCGCTCACTCATCCGTTGAGGAGGAGGAGGAGGTACAAGTGGAGGAGGAGGTACAGGTGGAGGAGGAGGCAGGGGTGGAGGAGGCAGGGATGGAGGAGGAGACAGGGGTACCTCTTCCTCTACTTCATCGCGTGTGTGGTTGCGAGGTCCCTCGACCCTCCCGAGGCGACCGATACCTCTTGAGAGACGCCCGCTGATTCGACCCGCTAGAGAAAAGTAAGTAACTTTATATGTTATCCCTAATTTTTCGTTTGATATGTTCAAAATTATAATAGAAACTAATAATTTATCTTAATCACTTAGGCATGCGTTGGAGGAAGGTCAGTGGGGGGATCACGCACGCCATGTGAACGACATCCTTGATCTTTTGATCAAGGAAAAG